GGCGAACATACATAGAAAAAAAAAAAAAAAAAAACTGATCGAATTGAGTAACCTCCTTCTTTTTCGAAGTCGGTTAAAAATAAACTAACACATGTCCTTTAGTATTTCCACTGGAGAGTCAAATGGCATTATTAATTTTTTAATGCGTAGGCATCTTCGAAGTTATTTCAAGGACATCTTATCTTTTTTATCGTAAACTCGTATTTTTTTATTTAGGAATTATATTCTAGGTAAGAAAATGTATAACTTTTGTTTGATACATTTTGTTGTAAGTTCAGTATTACATCTGGTAGATTTACATTTTCAAGTATTATTAGTACCTTAAGTATTACTGATGACAAGTTAGATGAAAACAAATATCGAGACTTCTTGAATCGCGAATTATCTGTATTACTTGAAGATCAATCTAGCAGACAGGCAAAACATGTGACTTCAGCACGAAAATGGGCCAGATCATTATTCACGTATTGCACGGTAAATAAATACTACATCGGGATTTTACTGATCGTTGGACAGGTCGAGGTGGTCCAATTTCCAAGCCAGCGAGATCACCTGAACTAACATTACCCGATTACTTCCTGTGGGCTTATCTTAAGGAAAAAGTATACTCCGCTCTACCTACTATAGCTGAATTATAGCTGCATGTCGTAGTATCACGAAAGGAACTTTATTGTTTGTTGGTGAGTCTTCTATTAAAGGAATTAATAAATGTCTAGAAGTTGAGGGTAAAAATATTTATTGCAATGTTCTTAAATTAAATAAAAAACATTCCAGAAGAAAGTAACGTTGATATTTTAATAAAAAAAGTATTTTTGACAAAAACATATAAAATCAACTAGATATTCTAAGTAATTTTTAATTGTATGAAACAAAAGTCATGTATTTTTTCACGTAGAATATGGTCCCAAGCAAAAATATGGGTTTATGATAAAAAAAAAAACAAGATGACTTTGAAATAATCTCGAAACCCATTCATTAAAAAGTTAGTAATGATATTGACGCTCCGCTCGAAATACTAAATGACACGTATCTGTTTTTTTAAATCGCATGTCTTCGAGATTTTTTATATTGTCGACTTATATGGAACACCTTGTATAATATATGAACTTATATCTAAATATGCTTTTAACGAATATTTGTGATTTATTGTGGAAATTATAGGAAAATATTCGATAATTCCTCCTTCCGATAGAGCGCAAGCTACATTCGTCGTATTAGTGATTGCCCAACTCGTTCAAATATTCCGATTGTATTGGAAATAGTAGTAAATGCTGTTTGAATGTATTCACAGAGTTATTGTTCGTGTAAACAATAATTTCATTGAGATTATGACACGTATACAATTGGGTACAAAGAATTGAGCGGTTTATTTCGAAAGTGGAGCAAATCCATTATTGTTATTGCTAAATGTTTAAGTGTTTGCATTTCAATGAATTTAAAAATAATGATAAGCACTAATGGACAAATTTCTTGTATTTTATGTTGTTAGATAATGTACGTTTATTATCAAGAGTTTACAGTTCTGGTTAAGATAGTAATCATTTTATTATACCCAAATGCTTTTGGAAATTAATAAATTAAAAATAACAAAATTCCTTAGAAATGAGGATTTTAGTGGAGAGTTGTTCTTACGTAGGAAAATATTTTCATTTTCGCATTATAACCTACTATCTTCACTTTCATATACATCACAGTTATAATTGAAATCATTCTGAACCATATTATTATTTTAACAAAATAAACCACAATTCGTAATTAAATTTCAAATAACAGTGAAATTGTTAAGAGATTTTTTGCACCGATATTAAAACAAAAACCGTTTCGACTTTGTTGTGTATTCATTAGAAACTGAATTAGAACTTACTTGCAAACAGGTACTAGAAATTAGCAATGATACCTAGAGAGACCTACATCCTCGCTTATTTTGAGGTTATGCCACCAATATTATACAATCCGTAGTTTTCCACAGTATTGTCAGTATTATTAAAATTTACCAGAGTTAAATTGTAACGTAAAATATTCGGATAAAAATAATTTCAATCTGAAGTGGATTTGCATCACTTTCAAAATAAATATCTTTTCAATATCATTAATCAGCTAAGCTTCCATCACACAAATATCAGGGAATTTTAATTATTTTCGCTATAAATTACTTGCAGATAAAATATCGTATTTAGTTTTATCTATTGTTATCATTACCATAATTTCTTTCAAAAATGTATTTGCCCCATTTTCAAATAAACGATTCAATTGCAGCACCAATTTTGCTTGTCAATTTATGAACCCTCATATCTTTCTGATGAAGCATTATCGAATATAAGTTTATAGACACTTTTTTTATCTATTAACATCAGTATTATGTAGTATAAGTTTAGTTACTGCCCTTATAGAGATTCTGTATGTCTACAATTTTGTTTTGTTATTTTTCTATGTTTTGTATATTATATTATTTTTAATTTATAGTTTTAAAATGGCTAAAACGTTTGTAACATATAATTGTAATATAATCTCAATTTTCAAATTGAACAATCTGCCTATTAAAATTAACAGGGAATGCGACAAAACATTTCATATAATTCATTTTTCAGTACTTGCTTCGTTTCGTGATTTTATTCGTTTAAATTAGTAATTTAAAAACATGAGGAAACCTTGTAAAACACGTTACGAAACCTTATTAGAATATTCATATTCTTCAATTACTAAATATTTCGTGCGACGTAAAAGTGGCAAATGTTTTTAATTCGGAACAGATGTAATGAATGGATAAGTTGTAAAAATACTTTCAAAAAAATTTGAATTTAAATTGTTTTTAATATTATTTCTTGAATAAAAATAGTTTTATATTTTTTTATATTTATATTTTTGTTTTATATTTTCTATCTCCACTTATTATTAATATAACAGTAAATTTTCATAATATAACTGTTTTAAAATTAAAATTTATTTAAAATCCTCATTTAATGATGAATAACAGCGTTGTTAAATATAATTTAATTAAAAATGTAATCGATTTGTCGTTTATTTGGGTGTAAAACGTTTTCAAAACGGTTTTATGCTTTTTTGATTTCATTTTTTTTAATTATGTAAAAAAAATGATGAGATATCAGTACTTGAATTAAAATTGGATGTTGTAGCAAAACTCACCCTTCGACTGTTGCCATCCTTGGGATTAAGGTCCGAGGCTACAGTACCGAAAATGGTTGGCTGTAACAAAAAAATATAATGTTCTCAATAAACTAATTGAAACATAACTATATATTTTCATAAAGTATACTCTTTCTATTTATCTCATATATTTTATGTGCAAAATAGAAAATGTATCCTACATTCTAACACCTCAATTCATATTTCTAAATGCTTCTAGTCTAAAAATATTAAATATATACAAACATTTACAATTTCACCATAAAATCAAGTACCATTAAATTATAATTAAGATCACACAGTCACTATGAGCATATGTATAATTGAACTCAATTTATTATTAATAATATTACGAACTTAAATTAATTCTCAAGTTTAAGCAATTTCTGATATATTTCGTAAAATAAACGTTCCTGAAACTCCCAGATATTCAAATTTACAAATTTCTGAACTGTCAAATTTAAAAGTTTCCAAATTTGAATATTTATGAATCTGCAAGATCACTGAAACTCTGCAAGTTTACTAACTAAAAATTAACAAGTGACGTGTCTCATTTCCCTAGATCGCCAATTTTCCTTATCAGAGCCAACAGTGCTCCGTGGCGTACCCAAAAGATATTTTAAATCACTATATTAAATTTTGTCTAATAACGCTACGAAAACACCAGACTGTCTTACCGCTTTATTTACCGAAACCACCGCAAAACTATAAAGCATTTTTGCGATAGCTTTAGTAACCGCACGCCAACAAGAAGAGGTTAAATTAAGTGAGACTGCGTCATTAAATCATCCCCTTTCCTACTTTTTTCTATACGAACACCACATCGAGACTATAATTCTAGACGCCATCGGACCTTTCGGTTTTTTTTCTTTCGATATTTCACATCCAAGTTCTCTCCTTGTTCGACGAATGCATTTTTCGGTCGGGGGCACTTAATGGCCGGAATGCAGCCACCAAACTAGACGGCATTTCGTAGATTTATGAGGCGACAGCTTTTACAACCGCACTTCGGGATTCGTTGTTACACCCCTAACATCCGGACGATTTCATGCACGGAAGTCATAATATCTCAAGATCGACAACCTTCGTTCAACATCTTCTCTGTTCGTATTTTTTCTAGCAATTGAAATAGTTCCGCTTTTTTTTTAATTCTGTTGTAACTTATATCATTTGTGGATGTAGGAACTTGAGAGTTTGAATATACGCATGGTACCCAAAAGAAACCCAACTTATTTTGTTTTCAACTTATTTATTTAAATTTAAAGTACAAGCTTACATTTCCCTTCAAAGTATTCTTGCACTAATACACTTGTCTAATCTTTCATTCTATTTTTCAAAACATTGTTTAAATTCGTTTTTTATGATGCTTGATGACACTGTCGTTTTTTCGTTCACCTCAGCAAAATCAACGAATCACTTTCCTTTCATGTCTTTGACAATTCTTGACCAAAAATGGCATGACCTCACACTCTATACTTGCCTTGAACAATTTTTGTTTCCTCGAATGAAAAGAGACATGAAAGGAAAGCGTTCTGCTGATGTTGTTGAGGTAAAAAAATAACGACGGAAGCGTATATTTAACTAAACATTTGAACACCATATTTTAGGAGAGAAGGACAATTTTTCAAGAGGTATTAACAGGTAGTTACAGTTTGAATTTTGAAGTTATATTTTAGAATACATATAATTATTGATATTTTTTTTAAACAATTGGCCATCTTTCCTAAAAATGGGCTACATAAATGTTCAGTTAAATGTTTTCTATAAAATAAATGAGTAAGCGTAATGCTTGAGTTCTCTTTGTAACAGTACATTCTTACATTTATTTCATAAAAGATATAAAAACCATAACATGGGTAAGTAATAGTTTCATAAAAAGAAGGTATAATATCCAAATAGTATATTTTATTACAATTTAATAAAGTTAGACATTTACAAATGTATTTAATAATTTTCAAGGTTTATCCTCTAAATTAAGAAACAAGTCCAAAGGTTCCTAATTAACCAATAAAAAAGTTGATTAAAACATTATACCATTTTTAATTGGCACTCTTGTTCATCTGTTTGGCTATTTACGTATTCGTATAGTTTGGAAAGCAATTTTCAATAGCGTAAATTCTCACTTTTAATTAAAGCATGCAATCGGCATGCGCGAGTAGAATGACAATATAATTTTTGGAGCTATCGTAACGCCAGTAGCAACAACACAATGTCAAGCAAACAATTGTAGTTTGTTTCGGAGGATCAATATTGCATTTCGGATAGATAAATGCGCAAAGCGTTGAATGTTGTGCATTCTGCACGGTGAATCGAGTTTTCATTTATTGCGTGCACGTTATAGCAAGCCATGAAAATTAATTAAATCTCCGTTGCGCGCTTAGTATTATTTATCCGTTGTTTGTACGAATTTCGAAACCTGTAACTCCTCGGTTCAATGAACAGCACAGCTATACGAGCACACGCGATACGGTTAAACACGAAATCGTTTTTCCACGTTGAACATGTTTACTGTAAAGGTGGATGCTAGATCGATGGAATTACAAAGAAAAACTTTTCAGTCAGAAACTACCAATAGACCAGTCGTTCCGAAGGCACTACAATCTCTTATTGAATGTAACAGACTAGCTGAATAAACTTGAAGACTTCTATTGTTGTTTATAAAACCCGGGAACGTAATTGCTGACAATAGCTCTCCTGAGAAATCGATAGGAAAGCACCGACAGCATAAGAACTCACTCAAAGTAATTGTTATCGATGTGGATAATAGATCTCAGATGGAGAAGAAGATTTGACAGTGATATCTCTTGTAATCAACGAAAAATTGTGAAGCATTATATTAACTTGATAATATTCGTAAGTTCTGAAAATTTCAAGTAATACATTTAAAAATGTTCAAATCATTAAACTCTCAAGTTTCTTAAGTCATCAAACTTCCAAATTCGTGTTCTACATTTTTAAGTTTTTAAGATGTTCAAACACTGAAGTCCTTAATTTTTTTTAAGTTTCTAAATATCTAAATTCTGAAATTCTGAAAATTGAAAATTCGAAAATTCATCCAAATCTCTAGATTTCCGAGATTCTAAATTTTCTAATCACAAGTTCAAAAATTTCTAAATACCCAGTATTTAAAGTTCTAAATTTCCAACTTCGACATTTGGAAATTGTCAATTTCTAAATTTCTAAAGTTGCAACTTTCCTAAATTTCTCAAACTTCCTAAAATTTCAAATCTTCAAACCACCAATTTGCAAAGTTTGAAATTTTGAAATTCACAAATATAAAAATTTCTCAACCTTCCAGATTTCTTAATATTGAAATTCCTACATTCGAAATTCCTATATTTGTAAATTTTTATATTGGCAAATTTCTAAATTTCTAAATTCCTAAATTCCAAAATTCCAAAATTCCTAAATTCCTAAATTCCTAAATTCCTAAATTCCTAAATTCCTAAATTCCTAAATTCCTAAATCCCTAAATCCCTAAATCCCTAAATCACTAAATCTCTAAATCTCTAAATCTCTAAATCTCTAAATCTCTAAATCTCTAAATCTCTAAATCTCTAAATCTCTAAATCTCTAAATCTCTAAATCTCTAAATCTCTAAATCTCTAAATCTCTAAATCTCTAAATCTCTAAATCTCTAAATCTCTAAATCTCTAAATCTCTAAATCTCTAAATCTCTAAATCTCTAAATCTCTAAATCTCTAAATCTCTAAATCTCTAAATCTCTAAATCTCTAAATCTCTAAATCTCTAAATCTCTAAATCTCTAAATCTCTAAATCTCTAAATCTCTAAATCTCTAAATCTCTAAATCTCTAAATCTCTAAATCTCTAAATCTCTAAATCTCTAAATCTCTAAATCTCTAAATCTCTAAATCTTTAAATCTCTAAATCTGCAAATTTCTAAATGTCTAAATTTGTCAATTTCTCAATTTTTGCATTTCTACACGTTTAAATTTTTCAATTTCAAAATTACTTAATTTTTTGACTTCTGAATTACACAATTTCTAAATTTCTAAATGTTTATTTTCCTAATTTTTTAAATTCTAAAATTTATCCTCTCATATCGCAACCGGTTACTAACAAAAAAAAATATAACACTGCAAATATTATTTTCCTCTTTCATCTTTTGCATTGATCTTTTAAAATGATTCTTTATTTTCAGACTTAAAATTTGTTGTTCGTCCGAGAAAATATAGAATAAAACAAAGGACGATGTTCCATGGTTGTTTTCACGAGAAGCGTCCACGTGGTTAACTTTTGTGTGTTAAAAAAAATGATTCTTTCACTCGTAAAACATATCTCTATTTTCTGAATAAAATTCCACCAGGGATTTTCTATTATTTGTTTTCATTTGTTTCCTGGGATTCATCGGTGAATAGGTTTCCTATTGTGTACAGTTTTCAGCATAGAACAAAGAAAAATCCACGAGATTGACCCGATACTGATAACGAGGCTATCTTTTACTTGCTTTACGTCACTGAATTCTAGTGTAAATTTTATAAAAAAATATCGATATTTCCCAATCTTGCACCTGAAATAACAGAATTTAGCTCTTTCGTGTCTGTTAGGCAAATACAGGATATTAAATCGAACTTTTTATCAGTTGTACACTTTAAATATCCTACATAAAAATATTGTGTTAGTATTGTACGTACAGTTTACTGCAACGTTGCAGTGTACAAATTATTTAATAGTGTTTTAAGCAACTAAAATTGAGTAACGATACAGAAATATCATACTCTTTCTTTTATTTTATCATACTCTTCATACTCTCTATAATATAAAATCATAACGTAACGGTGTCACGCGTAACGCTGTCATGGTTAGGTTAGGTTAAGTTTAGGTTAGGTTACATTTGTCACTGTCATATTGTACTCTATGGTATAAAATCATAACGTAACGGTGTCTCGTGTAACGCTGCATCGCTTATACCATACTCTATAGTATAAAATCATAGCGTAATGTTGTCACGCCTAACGCTACCCTCTGCATTCCACAGTCCACGGTCCACCCACCATGTCACTTTGAAAGCGCATTCACACGAAATAGGTGCG